GAAGAAACAAAAAACAAACAAAACCACCAACTTTTCCTCAGCGCAGCCACAGCCTTCATTTGACAGCTTAGGAAAACTACAGAACACATAACGCTGTGTGTCTGGGCCTAATCAATAAACATTCTGACAAAATAAGACTCAATTCCCTCCTCACTTCCAAGTGAAGACATTTCTTTTTTTTCTTGTGAAAAACACAGTGAAACCACTTCTTGTTTCCATATTAAAAAAAAAAAAAAAAGTCACCAACAGAGTGCTGAAGTACTTTAAGCAGCCTCATACCAGTAATGCAGTCACAAGCTTTCCATCACGTGGTAGTCTGGGTGATCAGGTCAGTGCTCCACAAAGAGCAAGACAATTCAAACAAGTCCAAAGCCTCTGCCTAAATCTTCCAAAACTTGCAAGATACAGGCATGACAAGCGAGAAATGGAGGTGTTTGCTTTGCTTTTTTGTTATATGCACCAGAACACTAACTATCCTAAGCCAGAATAAAAAGATCTACCCAGCCTGGTAGCCTATCTGAATGTAAGCACGTGTCAAGCAAACAGTGATAGTTGTCTGCTTCACCTTCCCAGAGATCTGAAGCACATGGATTTCCAGCTCCAGTCATTAAATATCTGCATTTGGCCACAGTCACTTTTTCCTGGTCTTATTCAATTGCCTTTTGAAAACAAACTCTTAGCACCTATAAGATCTTCTGTAACTATACAGGGCACCTCATCATCATGTGTAGAGAAAAAATTTTTGCTTTGGATCTATTAACACAAGTGACCTCTTGTTTCGTAATAAACAGTAAGATACAGCCATATCTTACTCACTTTTGCTGAGCTACTCATGGTGTTCAAAACCTTCTACCATCTCTCTCCCTCCAGGTACCTCTTCTCAACACAGAAGTATCCTAATCCATGTAGTATCTCCTTCTCTAGAAGTATTTACTTCCAACCACCCTTGTAAACCTTTCTCTAACTTTCATAGCCCTGTTATGTCCTTGGTACTTTTGTAACCTTTGGTAACCACTTTACTTGTTCAATTATTTCTAAGCAACAAGCTGAAGTGCTCATGAACCTGTACACAAAGACTTTGCCTCCCACACCAAGCCAAATGTATCTCTTCACATTTACTTATGCTTATTTTCTCAGACACTCAGTACCAAAGCCTTTCAAGTCTTCCCTGTTTTTACTATTAGGAGTATAAACTCTCTTATCAGTATTTCTACAAAGAGAATAGCACAGATCCATGTAGTATTCCCAAAATGATCATTTACTCACATCCTCTTTTTCAATGCTTAAAGCAACTACCCACCTATGACAGAACTCCCCATTTACTCCACTACAGGTGTACTTCTTGAAGGGCCTCTGGTGTAGAAGTCTGTCCATAAACTTTTCAGTATGAAGCACACCCAGACCAACTTTATACCAACCAGAATTATTTGTGTGCCCAACAACTCCTTTATATATCTCTACTAGCCATATGCTGCATGACTTGCCTTTACAAAAAGTATGTTAACCTTACCCTCATTACATGTATCCATGTATTTATTGATTATTCCATTTCTTAGGATTAAATAGCAGAAATTCTTTTCTATCAGCTTTAACCACAAACAGCAGTACAAGAGTTAGTTTGATCATTGGTATGCATTTGCTCTGAGACTCAAACATCTCTTTCCC